TTTGTGTAAGGGCTGTGATACTGTCCAAGTGCCCAAACCGAGACAGGTCACATTTAAGTAGCTAAGTATCAGCCCTCTTTTACCTATTATACGCGGTTTATACGTACCAAATCTGTCTAATCTTAATCTACTGGGTGTTTATGCAATCTATACGAAGTTGCTGCTCAAGCGTCTCCATTTTCCGTAACCAATTTTTAATGCATACTTTCCCTGAGTTATCCTTAATTTCTATATTACTATTCATCACTATATACATGATATTTCCCATCCTTTTTTGGTGTGTACCATTCATCTAACCTGTTCGCAGCTAAATTTGGTACTCTTTTTAAACTCATTTACTGTTATCTGCTTTCTACTACTAGTCTCTAATACCATACGTCATAAAATGTTTAACTCTATTTCTATCTTTGTTGCATCCTTTTGACCCAATACTATTGTTTCTAGCCCGTATGTTAGGATGGGTGTTATTACTGTTCTTATCGGGTTTTTTTACTATGCCAATATTATTTGACCTTATGATTAGTCTAATTTTTATCATTGCATGTCTTGCTTTAATTACATTTTCCTGGATCGCCTCATCTTTTAGACCATGAACAATGAGACCCAAGTACTTAAATTAGTTCATGCTTTCAATTGTTGCATTGTCTATATGTACTATCCCTTCCTCTTCATTTGTGATCATCGTCTTGGTTTTCTTATGGGGTATTCTGATGCCAATTCTTTCAAGTTAGTACATTGTGAAGTAGAAATCTGTTCCTATCAGATGTTATTATGGATCACCAAGAGCTTCCTCTACACTTTCTTGTATGTTTCTGTATAGTTTTAACTCATTTATTGTTCTCATTAGCAATGCTTTTAGAACTGTATACAATGCTTCGGTTAGTTCAATAAATGCGAGAATGATTTCGGTTTCAGAATTTAAAGTGCATTGTGTTATATACCTAATAGTTGTAATTACTTGCGCTGTAGACATGCTTCTTTGGGAGACAAATTGCGTCAATGGTAACAACTCATCTTTTCTGTCATTCATTCGGTTACACGCCACTTTAGCTCATACCTTTCCATTGTTGTCAAAAAGGAAAATACTTCTGTAATTGTTTGAATTATTCTTGCCTCTTTTGTTTTTATTTAAACTGCTAACATCAGCATCTATTCTGTGCGTTGGTATTGTGCCTGGGTTTTCCCCAAATTCATTCATTCTCTTTAGGAGTACTCCTTTTAGCCTGTCCTTTCCATTTTCTAACCATCTCTATAGTTATGCCGTTATTTTCTGGTGCTTTATTATTTTTCATTCTCCGTATAGCTTAAGCCTATCCATTCTAAAAATAGAACCCTGATCACTCACTTATCTGTCATTACTTATGATACATTCCATTGCTTCAAATAACATTTGATAATACTATTTTAGTACTTCATTTCTTTAGTTAAGCATCAAGCACTAAAATTAACAACGCATATTAGTCTGTCCTTAGAGCTATTTCTAGCTGAAAGTCTAATAAATAAAATATGCAAGCTGTTATATGTGGTCGTGTTCATATAAAATCTCTAGATGTATATTGTTCCGTTCAAAAGATGTACTACTTTTGTCAAAGTGCTATATACATTTCATGTCCCTCTGTAAGACCTGATAAATGTACATTCCTCTTGATCTTATAGAACTTCGCGAATCACGTAAAGCACTGTGGTACTATAACTTTATTGTACTCAAAGGCTGTCAAATATTATCAGTGCTGCTACACGTAGGATTTGTCTCTGTTCATATTCATAAAAAACATAAATCTTGGTTCTATAGTGAAATGAAATTGCATACAGTGATATAACTGATATCATATCAAAAGAAAGTTTAGTGTAATATTTAATGTAGCATTATAGATCATAAAACGGAATTTGTTTGAACGAATGATTTTACCGATAGACAGCAAACACGCCCTACACTGTTTACTGAGAGTCAGGTATCCAATGAGTACTATTAACTTGCGGCAAAAAAGTTATCACAAAGTATATCCCAAGTGTCTTGTTAAGAAATATTCTGTGTAAACCATTGACATCATGATTAATTTTTATACAAAGTCTGTTAACATGCCCCCAAATGCCCTGGTATGGCTGGGAGTGGGGTGTGCCCGCCCTCCCTCTCAAAATGCTCTCACACGGTCACGCGTATACAGCCTCCGCCAGGGAAGTCCTACTCACTGCCTTCTCGTGGCGGGGGTGTTGTTTACGAAATTGAGAGGACAAAAAGCGAATGTCCGGCGTTTTAACTGGATTCCAAACCAATGGTACACATGGGCTCCTGTATCCTGCGGGAACAAGTGGCGTATGAACCAATCGTTGGTCACCGGCTACCATGGAACTGCATCTCCTCAGACCTTTAGGTCTAAGGCTCGGGGTATGGCCTCCTAAGAAAACTGCCTGCTTCGGTCTGGGCACCCGGGCAGTATCCCAGCCCTCACATAAATCGGATGATTTATGTGGCGCATATGTATTTGGTGCCTCCTTGTACCAATGTTTATGTGTCTAAATAAAATAAAATCTGGTAACATTATGAGAAAATTATAAGCGTTAGATCAATGTATAGCGATTAGAATGACCAATGTAAATGAGTTCATATATTTATTCCAACAGTCCTATTAACACAGTAGAGCTTGATGCATTACTTTGTTTCGTGAAATAATGAGTTACCCTTGCTTTTTTTAACTTCTGTGTGATAGAAACTAATAAGAAAGCACTGGCTCATGTAACATGTCGAATAATTCTCATTCTTTGAGGATGAATAATACACATTTCTCAGAATCTGGTAAGTGAAGTTAAATGAACTCGTTGTTTGTTAATTGAGGTTCAACCCCTAATTTATTAATATTTAGCTTCAGAATTCTTTTCTTTTCACTCATAAATTGACTGACACTTTTAAAGTATATTATCATTTTTATTATCAGTTTCTTACTATTTTGATATTTAGTTTTGCTCGACATTTGTCCTACACCAAGGCAGAGCCAATATGAAGTTGTGTGTAAATTACACATTTTATGATTTCTGCCCCTGTCAATTATCACGTGACAAAATCGTCAATCAGAATACCGAGTTCTGTCACCTTGTCCCTGTTATAAACCAATGACAGTAACTAGCACCAGCAGCCTTGAATCATTATTGGTCCTTAATAATAGTAGCTTCTCACCTATCCCTGCTCGTTGATTTCAGAACACAATATCAACCCTCATCTTACGAATAACATATTTCAGATATTCGTAATTTATATACAAGTAGACTAGACCTTATCACGCCATAAAATAAAAAATAACAACTATACAAGATCAGGCCAAAAGTGGCTGTGAGTATAAGAGAGCGGAACTAATAGATTGGGAATAAATTAAGAACAGCAAATCGTATAATACTAGCCAATAGTTGAAGTGAAAGGCTGTGATATATATATAAGTAAAAAATATTTGTATTTGAAACAGATTTCTGAGCATTCTGTTTATGAGAATACCAACATGTAAATGTCATGAAATTCTGCATTAAAGTTACAATTTCACTCGATATCATAACTCGCATGTTACTTGTATGAATGAACGTCACGCTCATTTTATTTTACGTATCATTTTATCCGGGATTTTGAAATTAATCATTAAGTTTTATGTAAGTTCGTTCCATTTTCAATATAGCTATAGCTTGTAAAGATTTGCTAAGTTGGAATAATATCCCAGGTCCTGATATAGTTATTTCCAGGTAGTTTCATTGATCTCTGTTGGCTAGAGGTTTAAGACACAACCCTTCTTTGTTTTTAGCTAAACATATATTTTATCGCTTTCAGTCTAGCTTTTGTTTTATGCAAGATGTTTATAGTAGCTACATTTTTATGATCAATAGTTGTGGTGACACAGGTTTAACTTATTCATCCTCATTTCCAACCGTAAACTTGTATTTCAGTTCATTCAATGTTTTCGCACACGTGTAAAATGCAATGCAACCCATTAGCTAAGTACACGTCAAGTCGATTTTGAGCGTCACTTTCATATAAAAGTCAGTGACACTGTTCGGTTATATCAGAAAAAGTAAAACTGTACCCGAGGCTGAAACTCATTTGTTGAGTTCAGTAATTTAATCACCAATCCACCTAACACATACGTATCCCTAAACATTCATCATTTTATTGAACCCGATCAATAAATTGATTATTTACTTGCTTGTATAAGTCGTACCCTACTGTATGTGTTGTGATTTCAATAAACAAATGTCTTACTTTATAGTTGGTTATCAGCAGGTACAAATGCTGCTTCAGGATTGGGTTGCATCGACACCCGAACTAATGATAGGGAGTGAAGTAATTGAGCGTGTCGACCGCTTCTTATCTTGGGAGTCTCATCAGCCCTTGTAGTCCGGTGTGTGACGAAATCTCAGCACGAATACAGAAAGCTTGACTAGCTTTTGCCAACTTGCGTCATTTATGGCGTAGGCGAGATATCCGTCTATCAACCAAAGGACGTGTTTACTGCGCAGCAGTTCGTTCCGACCTACTTTATGGCAGTGAAACATGGCCGGTAAGAGTAGAGGACATTCGTAAGTTACTATTATTCGATCATATATATCTTCGAAGCATTGCTCATATATCCTGGGACCACCGAGTAACTCAGTTGTTAGGAAACGGGTACTGGGTAAGGATGGCAAATCAATTGATGAAGTAGTGAAACTTCATCAGTTGAGATGGATGGGACACATGTTACGTATGTCCAACCACCAAATGCCCCGACGTGCGATGTTTTATGGTGTAGGAGTAGGTTGGAAGAAAGCTATGGTCGGCCAGACCAAAACATGGCACAAATCCATAAAGTCATTAACAAGTGGGCTGAGCCATGTTGGTAGGTGCAGACAAAATGGTTGGGATCCGTGAGACGATAGCAAACGATGGTTAGAGACCTTGATTGACATGGCGCAGGTGCATCCACTCTTTGTGTTTTCCCAAATTCCAATCTTCTGAATTCTTCATGTCCCCTTTCTTCTCTTTCCAAATTTATTTCACTGGATTATACTCCTTAAATAATATCTTCAAACCCAAATCTTTCCGATTACTGCTTATACTTTTACTACCTCTACCATTACGGGATTTGAATCGACAACTGCATCTCTGTGCTAATGTGGTGTGGCAACTCGGACTGATATACGTACGTACGAAATTACGTTGTTACTGACTAACTGACGAGGTACAAATGGGAACTTTTAGGTTCTGTAACATTTCTGGACATATGAGGTTTGCTTCAAGGGGCGCACTTACACAATTAATTGGACATAATATCAAGTTCATTTAAGCTGAAATGTCAAAAGTGAGTCAAACAATAAACCAAACTGTTGTGGAAATTCACTTTTGTCAAACAAGTATACCAAGTACTCATTCGTTCATTTATTTATGGATAATGCTTGTCACCTGATTTGCTCAGTACTACCCATTAAGCTCCTAGGGCGCACGAATTTCGTAGGTCATTCTCAATTGGTTTTTTAAGACTAAAAGTTACATATTATTTCTCTCTTTCCCATAATATTCTTGCATTTCAGATAACCCAACAAACTGAACTTCTGACAAAACTACATTATCCGTCATCTGTTTTCTGATCACGAAACAAATTTCTGTGTATATAATCAGTCAACATAATAGAAATTATACCTGTGGCGCCAAAAACAATTTCCAATGTGTATTCCTCATTACTTGATTGTCGGTGGTGGCTTGTCCGGTTTAGTTACTTCTTACCTCATCTCGTTAACCCGACCATTGGGGAGTTACCGTCTAACAGTTTTGGAAAGTAGCAGTAGGTGGGGTGGTTGGATTCAATCAGTTAAAAATATGGATACTGGATCAATCTATGAAATTGGTCCACATAGCGCTCGTGCAAAATCTGCCACATCAGGTCTTTTGATGAGAATAGTGAAAAGTTTGCATCTCGAAAACTCACTTGTATGGATGAGACAGGGTACAGATGAAGCGAAACGATTAATCTATATAAATGGCCAACTGTTGCCACTGTCTGCGTTCAATTTTTCCACTTTAAAACCATTCACTAGGTCCAACTGTAGTTTAATCATCAAGCGGTTATTTTCTCGACGCCCACCATCTCAGTCAGACTGGACTGTTGATGAATTCCTTCGCTCTCGTTTTGATTCCGAATTCGCTGACTACTTTGGCAGTGCTCTGATGAGAGGTATCTTTGCTGGTGATTCACGAAACCTTAGTGCTCGTGCTTGTTTGCCTACGGTAAGTTACCTGTTTGTTAAGATGAAAATAATTTCAAGAATACAATTATGACAGTTTAGTTCTAATATATCCTGCAAGTTTTGTAGTGTATTCTCATTTTCATCTATCGCATCTACTAAAAAATATGATAGTCGAGATTATTGGCCTGAAAAATGGCAGGTACGGAATCACTGTTAATTTTTCAGAGATATTTTAGAGTCTTTTAAAGCATACACATTTAACAGATTAATAGATAATTTGATTTGCTTTCATAACAACTGTTTTCTGAAAGTGCATTAATTTTTTTAGCATCCTGTAAGCTTCGAGTAAAGCAGTTTCTAGAAGTGCTATTAAGTTACTTCGACGTAATTTTGAAACAGGTTTATTTTTTGAGCGTTTTCATTACTATTCACTTTCCCATTATGGAAATCACTGACCAATTTTCGGAAGCTTGAATACCTGTGTATGTTGTATGTAGAAGAAATATTAATCGACATTATCCTTCATGTAAAATGTTCTTTTCAGTTTAGTTGTGGTTGAGACGGTTACCTGATGAGGCTTAATCTCCAGGTATTTGCGTAGGTCGTTGCAATCATTAGTTTACCAGGTTACGAGTTTTTAATGCTTCCATTTGTCTTTTTTGGTTCAATGTTTATGACATCATCTTATTATGTATTCTTTCAGATGGTGAAGTCGGAAGAATATGGACCGAATCTTATTCTCGGGATTCTACTTTCATCGATAAACCGATCTTTAGATCGTATCGTTATACCAAATATGATTGACGACAAACTCCCGCAACTGAATAACTTGATTCCATCTGATGCGATTGCCTGGACTTTATCAGGTGGATTGGAGACACTGATTAACACTATTGTAGATCATTTAAGTAGGAAACATCCACACATCGATTTGAAGTTAAACTCTTCCGTTGAAAAATTAAAATCTCTAAATGGCTGCTTTGAGTATACATACAAGGTCATCGGTAATAATGGTAACGACAAAGAAAAAAATACAGCCGATATAGTCTTTTTTTGCTGCCCATCCTTCATTACAGCAAGCATTTTGGAAAACATACTGACTACTGAAACTCTAAGCTATCTGAAACCCGACTCTATTCCATGGGGAAGTATTGTCAGCGCTGTCTTAGAAATAGATGACTCCTTTACTCCCTTAGTACGTGGGTTTGGGCACTTAGTACCGCGTACGGAAGATGAACATATTTTGGGTGTAATATACGATTCCTTTGCGTTCCCGAAATTGGATGGATTTAATAAAAATTTACGATATACAGTAATGATGAAACCATTTCGTGAATGGCTCGAAGCCTCCACAAGTTTAGGTTCCTCGGAACACCTGAAAAACACCATTGAAGAAGTTGCGAAAACCGTCCTTATAAACCATCTTAAAATACCGGCTCCGGTCATTGTTGGTCGTCATATTAGTATTCTCCGTAACTGTATTCCCCAGTATCCTCCAGGTCATTTAACTAATATGGCTAATTTGCGCAACGGCATTCGGCGAATTTCGAATGGCCATAGTTCTGGCCGAAGTGGTATATATCTTGTTGGTAATTCGTACGATGGCGTTGGGTTGAACCATGTTGTCTATAGCGCTGCATGTGCAGTCGCAGAAGAGTTCAGTTCATCTTCATGAAAATAGTTTTTTAAAACCACTGTTCACAAACCAACTTATGTACAATACTCTGCTTATTAATAGCACTAACGTATGAAGACGTCTGCTAGAAGATTATGGATGTAAAATAAACCATATACATTTTGAAAAAAACCTGTTTTTGGTTTTTATATTAAAGTTACTACATTTTCATCCTTTTCTTCAGCACATAACAGGATCTTGCAAATTTGTAGTTTATCATTGGAATGCTTATCATATTGTGCAAATATATCCCCACTAAGTGTTTTTTTTATTTTTTTGAACGGAGCGTTTTGGAAACTGGATTGAATAGTTAGTGACGAAGATAGGTATCTCTTGATAAGAGAGCTTCCATAATTAGAAGTTGTTTGGCCTGTGTGAAGAAAACTACAAGACTGACAGATCTTGATTATCAATGAGAAAAGTGAATTAGTTATCAAATGGATGACTGTAGGATTGGTTTAACATTACCAAAAAACTATTATGCTTGATTTCGATATTTATATCAATCATCCGACAAACATTTATTAATCCACTTGTTGTTTTGAATCTAAGATCAGAAATACTGCTGTTCATTTCAGGTTTTGCAGGAGATTTTGAGTGATTCTGTTCAGTAGTAGGTAACTGAATTTTTTTTATACCTAAGCTTAATTAGCTTATCATTAGTAGTTATTTATTTGAGCACATAAAGGTTTGTACAAAAGGGCACCAGAATATATATTCGCCACACAAATCATTTAATTTATGTGTGGGTTGGAATACTTGCCGGGTCCCCGAAGCGAAGCAGTTAGTTTTCTTAGGAGAACCACTCCCTTACTTTTTGACCTAGAGGTCTAATCCACAAGCCAGCGTAGCAAGGTTAGGGGATGCGGTCCTGTGGTGGCCGGTGACGAAGAATAGGTTCATACGCCATTTTCTACCTCAGGATCTTGGAGTACATGTTCACCCATTGGCTTAGAATCAGGGTTTTTCAACGCCCGTAGTTGGATCTTCCATACCCATCAATCCGGTTTAAGCGCCGGACATTAGCTTTTCATCCTCTCAATTTCCTAAACACGAGAAGGCGGTGAATAGGACTTCCCTGCCAACGGATATATACATGTGGCCGTATGACAGCGTTTCAAAAAGGGGGTGGACTCTTCCAACTCTCCGCCGTACCAAGTCATTTGCTTAAGCTAGTTGTGTTAATAGCACATTGTATTGTTTAGCAAACCTAAACGTCTAGTCACTTTAGTTCTTCAAAGGTGGGGTGCGATTCTACAAAAGGAACTTAAAAGTTTTAGCCTGACTCAGTTTGTAAAGTCCTTAATCTTTGACTGCTCGATATTCCCAGCGTCCTTTAGGAAGGAAACCTAGTTCCAGGTGAATATTACATTTTCACCGTCATCTCAAGTTAGTATTCTATTACGACGGGAGATTTGAAGCAGCGCTAATAGCGTTGTTATTTCCATCTCCATATTTGGTTAATTATTTGTTATCTGATAAGTTAACACACTACTTTGGCTGAGTCAGTCAACAACGTAGAATTTCGTACGTACGTATATCAGTCCGAGTTGCCACACCACATTAGCACAGAGATGCAGTTGTCGATTCAAATCCCGTAATGGTAGAGGTAGTAAAAGTATAAGCAGTAATCGGAAAGATTAGGGTTTGAAGATATTATTTAAGGAGTATAATCCAGTGAAATAAATTTGGAAAGAGAAGAAAGGGGACATGAAGAATTCAGAAGATTGGAATTTGGGAAAACACAAAGAGTGGATGCACCTGCGCCATGTCAATCAAGGTCTCTAACCATCGTTTGCTATCGTCTCACGGATCCCAACCATTTTGTCTGCACCTACCAACATGGCTCAGCCCACTTGTTAATGACTTTATGGATTTGTGCCATGTTTTGGTCTGGCCGACCATAGCTTTCTTCCAACCTACTCCTACACCATAAAACATCGCACGTCGGGGCATTTGGTGGTTGGACATACGTAACATGTGTCCCATCCATCTCAACTGATGAAGTTTCACTACTTCATCAATTGATTTGCCATCCTTACCCAGTACCCGTTTCCTAACAACTGAGTTACTCGGTGGTCCCAGGATATATGAGCAATGCTTCGAAGATATATATGATCGAATAATAGTAACTTACGAATGTCCTCTACTCTTACCGGCCATGTTTCACTGCCATAAAGTAGGTCGGAACGAACTGCTGCGCAGTAAACACGTCCTTTGGTTGATAGACGGATATCTCGCCTACGCCATAAATGACGCAAGTTGGCAAAAGCTAGTCAAGCTTTCTGTATTCGTGCTGAGATTTCGTCACACACCGGACTACAAGGGCTGATGAGACTCCCAAGATAAGAAGCGGTCGACACGCTCAATTACTTCACTCCCTATCATTAGTTCGGGTGTCGATGCAACCCAATCCTGAAGCAAAATCTTGCATTTCGAGGGGGAGAATCTCATCCCGAACATGCTTGCATTGTTGCTTACGGTGGTCAGAAGACTCTGCATTTTGTCAGCGTCCTCACCAAATAAAACTATGTCATCGGCATATTCTAAGTCAACAAGTGAATCTCCCAGTAAAAGTTCAACTCCTGGGAGTTTAGTTAAGGAATATGTTATCTCTAAAAGCACGTCAACGACAGTTAAACAAGAAAGGAGAGAGTGGAAAGCCCCGACAAACACCACTTGAGGTAATCAATTCTGATGACAGTTCGCCATAAGCTCTCACTCGACCAGTTGTGTTCGAGTAGAGAACCTTTACAAGGTTAATTTACTTCTTTGGTACTCCTTTCAGTGGCAAACACTGCCATAGAACCTTACGATCAACAGAGTCAAATGCCGCCTTAAGTTCGAGAAATACTACGATTGTGGGATGTCTGAGTGTGTCTATGTTCTAGGACCTGACGTAATGTGAATATCTGGTCTATACCGCCACGTCCAGGTCGAAAACCAGCCTGATTTTCTCTAGTCTGCTCTTCACCAGCTTTAGTTCGGCGTCGATGTATTATTGAAGCTAATATTTTAGACACTATATTAGTCAAACTGGTTCCTTTAAGATTGTCACAAGAGGACTTTCTTTTTTTCTTTCTTCCTTTCTTATAGACTGGCACAATCAGTGATTGAGGCCAGTCAGATGGGATTACGTCCGGTTCCCAGATTCTACCTAAGACCTCAGTCAGTCTCATTCCTAATACTGGACCGCCATCTTTAAAAATCTCAGGGGTGAACCTGTCAGGGCCTGCTGCTCTCCCACGCTTCATATTTCCCATAGGTTTTTCACCATCGTAAAGATTTGGAGGACTTACATCAACTTGCCATTCAAGTCGAATGGAGATCGTGGGAAAACAAAGTGTGGCTGAAGGGCAGTTCAACCGATCCCTAAATTGTTCTGCCCATCTATCCAATCTCCTGGATTGAGAGTGAATAATATGTTCAACTTTTCCCAAAATAGTTTCGCTAACATTTGAGTTCCTAGTACCAGTTTCCTTGACAAGTCTGAACAGTCGTCTGTTGTTGTCTATTACCGCTGCCTTTCCCATCCCTTGCTTTCGCTACCCACCACTGTTTGCCACCATTGCGTAGACTTCTTATCAGCCTGCGCTTAAGCTGACTCCGCTCATCGTCATGGTCAGAGCCAGATGGGATGAGTTTTCGAGCATCTATCAGTGCGGTAGATCCAGTGTTCCTCCCTAACCTTATGTTTTACCGTACTAGCAGATATCACTGCTGTTTCCACAGCTTTTCGGATATCATTGCACGCTGCTTCGGGGTGGGGATCACTTACATGGCTGCCTAACTGTTTTACTAGTTGTACCTTAAATATATTCTTAGCTTGGCTACTTTGGCTGAACATTTCACTTACAAGAAGCGGCTTAAATTTGATGGATTTTAGGGACGAAATGATAGTGTATCTATGGGGTCATCACTCGCCTCACTTCTAGCCAAGTATTTCATGGTCTGGTGTGGAAAACGCCGCACCTAAACCCACAAATGGCAGCCCTGGTACGGCCGAGAGTGGGAAGAGTCAGCTCTCCCTCTCGAAATGCTCTCACATGGCCATGTGCATACATCCATTGCCAGGAAAGTTTTACTCAATACCTTCCCCCGGCGGAGATGGTGTTTACGAAATTGAGAGGATGAAAAGCGAATGTCCGGAGCTTTTACCGAGTTGGTAGATACGGAGGACCCACCCAGGGGAGTTGGGAACACTGATTTCAAACCAATGGTGCACATGGGCTCCACGATCCTAAGGAAACAAATGGCGTGTGAACCTATTATTGGTCACCGGCTACCATGTGGTTGCTCCCGCTAAAGTTGCTCCACTGGCTTGTGGATTAGAATTTTTGGTCAAAGACTCCGGGTATGACCCCCTTAGAAAACCACCTACTTCTGTTTGGGCACCCGAGGAGTATCCCAGCCCCCACAAAATGAATGATTTATGTGGCACAAATATATTTTGTGCCTTCTTGTACAAATGTTTATCTGTTTAAATAAATAAATTATGCATGAAAGATATTTCAGTTATGCTTTTATCGTCTGAGCAAAAATATCAAACTCAACAGCATCCTTGAGGAGTTAAATAGCTGCTACCAGTCAGTTTGGGGTGGAGGATCATGTGTTACCAACAGATTGTAAAGAAGGACACCTCACCAGCATACGAAAGAAAGGAGATCCCAGTAAGTGTGAGAACTAAGGAGGCATCATACTACTATCAATGCTTAGAAAAGTTTCCAACAGAATGTTGTTGAACCACATGAAAAATCGAGTTGACTCCCAGACTCGAAATCGATAGATCAGACTCCATAAAGATCGGTCGCATTACCGACCAAATCACTGATCATTGTTGAGCAATCAGTTGGGTGAAACTGGTCACTATACATCAATATGACTGACCATGAGAAAGCGTTTGACAACTTAGATAGGAGAACCTTGTGGACTTTGCTCAGACGCCATGGTACACTTGAGAAGGTCGTCAGCATCTTATGGAATTCATATAATGGACTACACAGCAAAGTCGTGCATGAATGACAGGTGCACTCCAGGAGAAGACTGATTTCATACAAAATTATTTACTCTCATTCTTTCTTTTGATGGTCGACTGAATTATGAGGACCTCCACATCTGAGGGGAGGCATGGAATACAGTGGACAACTGGGATGCAAATAGATGACTTGGAATTTGCAGATGACTTAGCTCTCATATCCCATTCACACCAAGAAAGGCAGATGAAGACAACTAGTGCAACAGCAGACTCTTCATCAGTAGGCCTCAA